AAGAGTGCAGTTATCACACTGTCACCCATTTCATTTTTTCCAACACACTCTTTGTGGCTTCTTTCCACCCCTTCCATTCTTCTCTTCAGATCTCTCTTATTTTCTCCAATGGCTTCCTTCACTTCAACCTCTTTCTGTCTCACCTCATTCAACCCAACAAAAACACCGGTATTATCATCAGTTTGCTTTCTTTTATGTCAATGCACGAAATTCCTTCATTCATTATGTATAGTGTTAATTCTATAGAAACTATTACATCACAATCATACGCATAACATGCTATTGCTTCTGAGTTTTATTTATTTCTGACACCAATATATAGATTACATCACATGTTAACTCTGTTTCTCTCATCACAGATAAAGTAAAATTTGATTTTTTATATTCATTTAACGCACTCATTGTTGGATGAAAAATCAGGTACCTAGTTGCAGGATCTCTAACCCGGGTTTAGTTTTCGTTTCTCTCAAGGGGAGAACTTTTCCACCCATTACTTTGCAGAGTAGAGTACCTCGTTTCCAAATTGCATGTGCTGTAAGTGTAACACCACAAATTCATCAATTGCTGAATGTCTTTTCTGTTGAAATTATCTATGACGGCTTGTACTTGTAATTTTTCTGATTTCATAGATTTTTGTGTTACCATGTTGTTCAGGCCAAACCAGAAACTGTAGAGAAGGTCTGTGACATAGTCAAGAAACAATTGGCGTTACCAGATGGATCTGCTGTTACTGGAGAGTCCAAATTTTCTGCACTTGGAGCAGATTCTCTTGACACGGTATTATTAAACATCTTCGTACATTCACAGCACTTATTTACTGTCTATTGTCAACAGGTACATGCTTCCATAATTTTTTACTTTTTGTTTGTAATTGCTATTGGTTTTGGGCATTCTGCTTGCCAGAATTCCACAAACCTATCCTTCTCTGCATGTTATTTTTCCTCTTTTTTATGTTATGCAGAGGGTGAGTAAGTTGCTGTTTAGAAAACAAACAGTTTTCCTTTTTACTGATATATTTTGCATTATTCTGCATGAGATGAAAATAAGAACACGACATAGATTTCACATCATGATGAATGTGTATTGGGTCATAATTTAGAGTTTGTGCAGGTGGAGATTGTGATGGGACTGGAGGAGGAATTTGGGATCAGTGTGGAAGAAGAAAGCGCTCAGAGCATTAGCACAGTTCAAGACGCAGCAGACATGATTGATAAGCTGCTTGAAAGCAAGAATGCTTAAACGACCACCTAAGTTATTTTGCTGAAGAATCTTAAATTTTATGTTTGGTTTTTGGTATTTCCTGTTTGATTGGTCTTCAACTAAATGCATCCTTTTTAAATATTGAAATTTATCTTACTTTACTCTCTACTTCAGAGCTGAGTTTGAATAAACTGTTATTGATTTGTTAAAAATGGCCAAGAGTATGAACATTGTTCGGTGTTAGTCTCACACTTCCGTTCCATGCCTCCACTTTTGAAGCCGCAAAATCATGTGCTAAGGACACCAATACCAAACCAAAACACACGATTTTTTTTTAGTTGCAGCATTATAGCATTATAGGATATTAATAATAAATCAATGCTCTAACTGTAACATTTGAATAAAGTGTATGGTATGATTTTTATTTCTTTTGTTTATTTTAACACATCATTATTTTTTCTAGAGTAACACATTATTCATAGAGTTTACTCAAATGGAATTGTTTATTGTTTATAATCAAAACATGAAGAAATTTTTGTTCAAAGCATCATTCTCAACAAGAAAAAGTATTATCATTCACTCAAACAACATTGTTTACTTTTCATAGTAAGAATTTGATTCGGAATTGAATTCTAAAATAGTTTGGACACATTATTAAAAAAATGTTAGAGTTCAATACTTTTACAATGTTTTTAAAAGTTAACAGTGTAATTTTTTTTATAAATTTCATATAAACTATTAAATAATTAATATTTCTTTTACCATTAATAAAAATATAAATTTATTTATCTATTTTGTAAAAAAAATGGTATTTTTTCTAATTTAAATTTATGAATTTCCTTATCATTTTAATTAATGATATCGTTACTATTTGTTTTAAATTTCAATTCAAATTAAAAGTAAAATTTCCAATACACTTAAATAAATTAAAAATAATAATATTAAACTAAATACTTAATTTAAATTATAAAATAAAATTTCAATTTTTATTAATAAATACTTTTAATAATAATAATAATATAAATAATTGGTGCATAATTGAAGATAAATTAAAATAAATAAATAGAATTACCGTGTAACTGAAAATAAAATTAAATATAAAGTAAATAAACAAGCTTAATGTGTAACTAAAAATAAATTAAATGAAGTAAATAAAACTAATTACATACTGAAAATATTAAATGAAATAAATAAACATAATTAATATGTAATTAAAAATAATATAAATGAAATAAATAAATATAATTAATACATGACGAAGATAAATTAAACTAGATCAAATGTCTAACTCAAAATAAATAAAATAAAGCAAATAATTAATGCATTGAAAATAAATTAAATTAAGTGAATAAAGATAAATTAAATTAATTAAATAAATAAGATCAATGAGTAACTACAAATAAATTAAATTGTATAAATATAAGTAAGTAAAGAAGATAACAATAACAACCAAGTTAAATAAGTAATTTAAATAATATAAATAAAAATAAATAAAAACTTAATAAAAGACACATAAATTTATTAATATTAACATAACATTTTAACTTCACTCTCCCTATTAATACACTGAATATACTTTTATTACTATTTTCATTTTACTAGATATTTTCTTTTTATGTTCAAACTATGCATAGATAAAATAAAAAATAAATTTTTTATGTATATTTAATCACAGGAGTACAAGCACAATATTTTCTAATTATTTTTAAAGTTAGGATAAAATAAATCATGGAGTTCGTTAAAAGTGGGATGTTACAAAATACCCATAAGAGATGTATTTTTCTAAAATGTTTATTCCTAAAATAAGAATAAGAAAATACTGTAAAAAAAACAAAATAAATTAAAAAAATTGTTTCCAAGAATAATTTATCATGCTCCTACATATTTCCATATACAATGTACAAAGATTGGGTTCATGTAGCTTTAGAAAACTATTTAAGAAAAATATTTTTTCTTTTTTGGATAAACCAAAGATTGACCTCCTTTTTATGTTTTTATTTTTTCACAATGAAAAACAAGGGATATAGTTTTTGAAAAGAATAAATTTGTTTGAGTGTTGATTTGATTTATAAATTTTAAAAACTTTTTTTATATTCTTTAGTATTTTTTGAAATTATTTGAAAAAATAGGGTTAGCCGACATGAGGATACATTACTCAGATGAAATCTCCACTTAAGCGATTTAAAATTCATTATGGAGGGTATCATACAAAACTTTCACATAAGCAACTAACACAATATCAATGCTTACGCATTTCAAATTTCACCTAGGGTATCAGATTTAGATGATGCCATTCACTCTAGCCATTGCAGTTAAATTTTTTGTTTGTGAATTGTGTAGCCCGCTACGTGTGCAATCTTGAGAGTACCAAGAAGAGTTGAAGTTATCAAGATTGGTGAATATGGTAAGGTTCTTGAATCCTTATAATTAAGAATGAAACCATTGTTGGTTACTTCTATAAAGTGCAAGAACATGTTAGTGCGATGAGAGCCTGTAGAGACACGATTATTGATAAGCAGATTGTTGAAAAGGTGGAAAATCAAAGAAACCTTTTAATAAAAAAAGGCAAGAGGAGAAAACTAGTGATATGTTCAAGAGTAAGAAGGATCACAAGAAGCAACAGATCAAAGAATGGAAGTATGACAAGAAAAAGGTGACATGCTATAACTGTCAGAAAAATATCAAAGAATGCTGGGATGGAAGTTGCCAAGAATAAGCCAAAGAACCAAGTACTTTGGCTCAGGATGGTGTGCTTCTTCAGATTTTAACATGGTAATGTTGATGGCAAAAACTAGTGGTGAAAGTTCAGAAGAAACTTCATGGTATCTTGATTTGGGATGCTTCCGCACATATGACTGGGAGGAGAGATTAGTCATCAAGATTAGCGAGTCTTGGACAGAAAGACTTTGACATGGAAATGAAGCTGAAAGGTTTGAGTATATATGACCAGAATCAGAAATTGGGTTATTCATGCAAAACTCTCTGTAAACAGGACTTTCAAAGTTGGTATTAACACATGAAAGCATGAATGCTTTGTTACTGCTCATAATATACGTGAATGGTTATGGCATAATGGGTTTGGTGACCTAATTTTCTGAAGAATATTATCACTGGATTACCTTCAATTGAGATTCTAAGAAGTTTGTACAAAATGCATTCAATAACGACAACAAAAGGGAATTTGGTGCCTTTGCTCTCATTGCAAAGGCTGAATCGATGGAGTTGAAGGATGCAAAAGATCCTCACTGATTAAGTGCACAAGACGTTTTGCAGAAAGCTTACAAATTATGGTAAGTATATTAAAACCACAAGCACCACGGATTTGAACTGAAATTAAGTTCATTAAAAAAATAATTATAATTCATCCTCCACTATTTTTTAAATTATTAATTTTTAATAGTATAAGAATGTCAATCAACTCCATTATGCATATACACTTATAATTTACTAATATTATTAATAAAATTTAAACAAATAGATAAAAAAGTCGTTATCCAAACCTCTTCTGTATAATTTAGTTAATTTTATTATTAAATAAAATTACTAAGTAACTAAAATTAATTTTGCATCCCAACATAAATTATTCATTATTATTTTAAAATAGAATTTATGGTTTTTATTCATTACGAATTTTAATTATAAATTAGTTTGTTATAAATTTTAGATATATGAAAAACGCACCGGTAAAATTCTTGTAATACTTTTTTTTTTCCTTTTGGTTTTGTTATTAAAATACGTAGAAAACGTAGAGTTCACACGGAACTGGCCTCCACACTCGTGTGAGATATAAGGCTTTGTTTGGGATCGCCTTCTCACTGTTTCTACAAAGACGGGGTTTCGTCTTCACAGGCAGCGTGATTCTTAAACCAGATTTTACGACTTCTCTGTGAGACTATCCGTGTCAGCGCGCGCTTTTGTCTATGTAGGTAGCTGAACATCGTCTCATTCTCGGATTTCCGAGCTTCAGGTAACCCTCTCCGATTCTCAACGCTTGCTTCTTGCCAATTGAATATCTGTAAGAGCGATTTCGAAATTCGACCTGCTTTTCCCTTTTCGGGAGATTCCTCTGCGTTGCTCAGATTCGCTGATTGTGAACCTTGCCGTGTAGGGTTCGGCTTGCATTTGAATGTTTTCGGGGATTTTCATTGTTTCAGTGTCGACTATGCGCGTTTGTGCTTTTCTTTGGGGAATTTCGTAAACGAGCGTTTTGTTTTGGGATGTGGAAGGGGAATGGGGGTTTATTCTGAATGGTGATGGGTTTGGGGATGAATGGACTTGCAATGTTTGGTTCTGAAGGCTTCGAGGTAGGGCATAAGGGGATTAGGTAGCGAGTTGGGAACTGTTATTTTCTTTTCCCAATGGATATGTTCCTTAATATGGTTATGTATCCTTTGATTTTTTGTCTCTGATACTAAAACAGTGGCCAATTGTTTCATGTATTCGCTTAATTAATGTCTTTGCCTTTTATTTTTGGGAACTTGGCATACAAGCTTGCCTTCCCGTGTTTATCTGTATGCTATTGACACTGGAATTCTGTTGTCTTTGTTGAGTTTAGTCACCCTACTACAAAAGCCTTTTCCCACCAGGTGAAGTTTGCCATATGGATAACACGATGCCATTTGGCTTGGTTAAAAACTATATTTTCGGAAATGTCAACTTCCCCCAATGTCCTTCTTGGTGGGAATTATATCATTGTTAATTGCTGGTTCTCTTCTTTGGCTTAAAATGATAGGTTTGCTACCCTGATATCTCCAGCTCGTCTAAGTTTTTCTTGAAATCACAATATTTTGGTTGTGCAGTTCGGATGAGATGGCCTCTTCACAGAATGTGGAATTGGAGGCTGCAAAATTTCTGCATAAACTCATTCAAGATTCTAAAGATGAGCCAGCCAAGCTAGCTACTAAACTCTACGTGGTGTGTGTTGCTTTCTCTTAATGATAAAAAACTTCAATTTCAATTGCTTAAAAGACTAGGTATACTTGTGATTAATTTGATATATGTTTCAGATACTACAACACATGAAATCTAGTGGGAAGGAGCATTCAATGCCATATCAAGTGATATCAAGGTAAAATGCCCACCCTAATTCATCCATATGCAATTATTTAGCTGTTTTGTTAGACCTCGTCTTTTTAAGTGAACTAGGGTAACAAATTCGAATATCTCATTCTAATTGTTCAATTGGGATGCTTGTTTACTTTTTAGCTGTTCCTATCATGCTAGTTAAGATATGAGTAAAATATTTTTGTCGCTATACTTTCGGTCAAACCTGGTTAAGGTCCATGACACATTTTTCATGAGGATATTAACCAGCTTTTCCATGTGTGATGGAAAATGAAATAACCACCGGAATAGTTTGTTCAACTGCATCATGTGGTTTAAATAAATTTGAATTATTCTTTGTACTCTGTATTCTGTTTCCAGAAGGAAAAGAGGTTGGATGTATTTTGTTACTTTGTGTAATTTGGCTAGAGTAACATATGTTTCAAACTGATGGCTATTTCCCATGCAAATACCTTGATATGATTGCCTTTTCAAATAGATAAACATAATTCGCAATTATGAGGCTCATCTTGTGGATTTAATTTTCTTGTTGTGCCTTATTGACTATAATGAAACTAATACTCTTCATTCTTGGCTTCAAAACTATTGTTGCGTGTAATAAGGGCAATGGAGACTGTCATCAATCAACATGGTCTTGATATTGAAGCATTGAAGTCATCTCGTCTTCCGTTGACTGGTGGTCCTCAAATTGGTAATTAATAGTCAATGTTTGCTAATTGCAGAAAGGATCTTTGTGATGATTTTTGTGTGATTCTGATTTCAATGTTTGATAATTTGCAGGATCTTCTTCACAGCCAGTGAATGTTACAAAAGATTCTAGAGTGGGCCTCGTGGAAAACGAGGTGTCCAAAATGGACCCTTATGCTTCTGGCCGGCCACCGGTTGCACCAAGTGGTGGAGCACCTGATTATTATCAAGGATCTGTGGCTCAGAGGAGTGGCCAGTCTTTTGATCAAGGAAGTCCATCTAGTTTGGATTCTAGGTCTGCTAATTCACAGTCTCAAGACAAACGTGATACTGCTAACTGGGACAAACAGTCAAATCAAAAGGATGGTAAGAAAGCTACGACAAAAAGAAAGAGGGGAGATACATCATCCCCTGTGGAACTGCATGTTGACAGTCCTCAGCTGGATCCTCGCAATACTGGTGTTAGTGCAAGGAAGGGGAAAATGACCAAGGCTGAATCGTCGGATGGTCTTCCAGTTAAAAGCGGGGAACTAACCAACTTTAACATGGCTCCAAATAGTGGTCAAATGGAGAATGTTTCAACTTTGCCTGGTAGCATGAGAACAATGCTTAGAGCAAACCAAGAAGGTCATCTTTCGTTGGCAAAGCAAACTGATTTGACAAAGATTGGCAATCCAATGGTGCGAGCTCCTAATTCAAAGTATGCTGAAGACTCGGAAGTTTCCTCTGCACATATTGCTTCAGGAAAGCAGCAAGGTACTTCCTCAAGTTGTACACAATGAGATTGGATGTGTGATAAAAAATATTGCTGGATTGTTTCTTTTTAAAAACCTTATGTTCCACCTCTTCTAATGTTGTTCCTGGTAATACAATGGCGGAATGGCCAATGCAGCAGTTAACACCTCCATCCCTTGGCTTAAGCAAGGGATTTGGAGAAATTTCTGCCTTTAGTCATGATATAACTTGATGAAATTGAGCTTGTGGGATTAAGAACTACAAACATTTTGGAACATATATAATACTAAAATACCAATGCCAAATATTGGTCAGTGGTGAGGTTTGACTCAAGACTTCCTAGAAGAGCTTATGTGTATGTATAATTAATGGAATGAAAGAAATTGATTAAAAGTTTTCTTGAGCAGTAGTTCTTATGTCAGTCATACTTGGCTGTGCCTAAATCATTTGAGTATCCTCTGCTGCTAGATCATCATGACGATTGAGTCATTAAGGAGGAGAGTGACTGTGGAACAATTTTACCTAGAATTATTTTGACAAAGGAAATAGAGCTATAATTTTGAATTTCTTTCCCACAGATCTTGATTGAAAACAATTTATATTAATTTCAGGTGCTTATGCAAAGGTTCATGGAGGGATGGGATTTCCCGCTGGTGCATCTTCAATGGCTGAAGCTTTCTCAAATTCAATGCAGTACGGTGGTGCAGTTGAGCGTGATGGGGGTAGTTCTACTAGTTTAGCTGATGGACATAAAATTTCTCAGGTACTTGCTGTTTACTAATTTTTTGCCTCATGATTTATCTGTTAGCTGTATTACCCGTTCCCCCCACCAGCTATACTCACTGTACTTTAAAAGTTCTTCTGCTTCTTTTATTCTCTTTTGACTATGTTTCTTATATAGTCAACTTGATTACTTGACCATATAATTTTATTGACAGGTTGGCAGGCAAAATAGTGGCTCTGAAATGACTATGCTTAGACAAGGTGTTCCACCAAGAGACACAGGAAAATCCACTGTTCCTGTCATGCCTTTCAAAGAACAACAGTTAAAACAGCTTCGTGCTCAGTGCCTTGTTTTTCTAGCATTTAGGTAGGCAGTTTGGCTACCATCTATTGGTTTGAGAAAATGGACTTGAATTATATTTATCATGTGAAACTTTGATTTTAAATGTGAAGGAATGGCCTAGCACCAAAGAAACTACATCTTGAAATTGCACTTGGAACAGCCTTTTCTAGAGAAGGTGATTGGTCTTTATATTTTATTTCACACATTGACCATCTTCATTGACTAACAAGTGATGGTAACACAGATGGTTCTCGCAAAGATCTAATTGACCACAAGGGAAAATCACAATCTCTTAATGAATCAAATAATGCCTCTGGGGTCATGATGCCATTCGGAGGCCCAAGCAATGTGAGACAGTCAGATAAAAACCCTTCAGGTTCCTCTTCAGCTGGTAAAATTGTTGAGGCTGACTCTTTGCCAAAGGGAACTGAGAGCCCAAGAACAATGGAGGACAAAGGTAATCTACATGTCACAAAAAGAGACGTTGAAAGACGGATTCAAGAAAGAATGACCACACAAGCTTCTTCAGTCACTTCATGTCAGCAGCAAGATTCTTCTTGTACAAGAGGAGCTGTGATTGGTAATCATTTGGATGATGTTGACACCAGTAATATGCCAGTAGGAAGACCTAACCAATCATCTGTTGTTGGTCCAAATAGCTGGGCCGGTTTTGCTGGTGCTAATGAGGCTTCAAAGGGACCTCCACAGATCTCTACTATTCAACATGAGTTGCCTATAGAAAGAAGAGAGAATATTCCTAGTCAGTTTCAAAATGTTGTTAATAATTGTGGTTCACGGAATCACAGTCTGTCTTCTTTTTCTTTGAAAGAGCAATGGAAATCTGTTCCAGGGACTGAAAGTGATCCCCATGGAGCAACCATGATGAAGGATGGAAATGTGATGATAAAACATGTTTCTCCAGGTGTAAACCATACTCAATATAACCATGCTATTACAGTCAGTTTCTTTACAGCATAAGTTTTCTGCATTATTCCAAGTGTAAATAATTGATTACTTTTTAAATATGGATTGGAATTACTTTCAGATGGCTTCAAAACAGTTCCAGTTGATAATGCATCAAAGCATGGTATCTCTTTTGCTACAGAGCAAGATGGGAATGAGAGGTTGTTATCAGGCGATTTGTCACCTTCTCCAAAATATACAATGTCAGAGAGATGGATCATGGATCAGCAGAGAAAGAGGCTTCTAGTTGAGCAAAAGTGGGTACAAAAACAGCAGAAAACAAAGCAAAGAATGGCTACTAGTTTTCACAAGTTAAAGGTTTGTTCTCTTTTAACTGCCACTTTTTCTGGTTTAGCGCTTAGTATGTTCTCCTTGAACATTTAAATAATATTTGCACCCTGCACATACAAAATGTGTTATTCATAATCACTGCACAGTATGTAAAATTCATTACCTGTGCTTTCGATGTATTGTAGGAAAATGTGAGCTCCTCTGAAGATATTTCTGCTAAAACCAAAAGTGTCATAGAGTTAAAAAAACTTCAACTATTAGAGCTCCAACGACGACTCCGGAGGTAATTTCCGTGTTGTGTGAATAAACTTGTTATTTTCTTCAATTTTCAGTTTGACAGTGTATTCTCCCTCTGTGGTCCAGTGATTTTCTGAACGATTTTTTCAAACCAATTACAACCGAAATGGATCATTTAAAATCAATTAAGAAACATAGGCATGGTAGAAGGGTCAAACCTGAAAGGTTTGAGCAGAAAATGAAGGAAGAGCGTCAGAAACGGATTCGTGAGAGGCAGAAGGAGTTTTTCAGTGAGATAGAGGTTCACAAGTATGTATTTGTTGTCTCATTTCTAATTGACTTCTCTACATCTTAAATTTTCCACTGCATTGTAGTTGATAACTACGAATAGTGCTCTCTTACTCCTTTCCTCAATTATTACTGGGAATCTAGGGAAAAGCTTGATGATGTATTCAAAATCAAGAGGGAACGGTGGAAGGGTTTCAATAGATACGTGAAGGAGTTCCATAAAAGAAAAGAGCGCATTCATCGTGAAAAGATTGATAGAATCCAGCGGGAAAAGATTAATTTACTGAAAATAAATGATGTGGAGGGATATCTTCGTATGGTGCAGGTTTGTTTGTTTTCTTATTTGTTAGGAATGGATACAGAGCTTATATGTTTAGTACTCAATGGCATTTTCAATGGTACATTAGGATGCAAAATCAGATCGTGTAAAACAACTACTTAAAGAGACTGAGAAGTATCTTCAAAAGCTTGGGTCCAAGCTACAGGAAGCTAAGGCCGCTGCTGGGCGTTTTGGACAGGAGGTTGATGATACAGGTCATGTCAGTTTTCTTGAGAATAGTGAAACAGAAAACGAAGATGAAAGTGATCAGGCAAAGGCAAGTTTGTCTTATGCATTTCTTTCTTAGGTATCTTGCCTTATAAAACATGTGACTTATTTTTTCCAATTCCTTTTGCAGCATTATATGGAAAGTAATGAGAAGTATTATAAGATGGCTCACAGGTACTAGTTCTGTGCTAATGTAATATCTAATAAGAAAATTTCTTGGTAGTGTAAGTTGTTTATATTATATTTTGTTATTAATGATAGGATAAGCTACATGGGAGACTGGGGATTTACTGGTTTAGTTTTAGTGTCAAAGGATTAAAAGTGTTCATAGTGCATTGATTCCTTTAATCTATAAATATGTATTTGAAATTTCTAATGTGTTTAGTAATCCTGCTTCATTCTAAAGAGTTTTACTACCCCTGCAGTATAAAGGAGAGCATTGCAGAACAGCCATCTAGTTTGCAAGGGGGGAAATTGAGAGAGTAAGTTAAATATTTGCCTTTGTATAATGCATGTTATTTAGTTGGATACATTTGCATAATTACGGAAATAAAAAAAGAAATCAGTCTAAAAGTGCAAAAAGAAAAATTGGATCTTTGTGGGAGTAATTTAAATATTTGCCTTTTTATAATGCGTGTTATTTAGTTGGATACATATGCTCATGTCTTGCAGTGGACTTCCATTCTCCATTTATTTTGGATACAAGGACTTATATTCTTTGTAATTGAACATTTTGTCCTTAGATATCAAATGAATGGCTTGAGGTGGCTGGTTTCCCTATACAACAATCATTTGAATGGAATTCTTGCCGATGAAATGGGACTGGGTAAAACAGTACAGGTACAATTTTTGTGAACTGAGGAGATTAGTATACGTAGTTGGATTCCTATTTGAATCCTTTTTGTCCCTTTTTTAATTATTATTTTGGTAGCATGTTATTTTCCCTCTTTATCCCTTCTGAATAATTTTTTTCTTTTGGATACTTTGCACTTGTTATTACAGTAAATGTATGCTAAAGAGAATTGATCATCATATTGCAATAAAAGGGTTTTAAGATCATTTGTATCTATAAAGTCCTAATGTCTTATTTTACAGGTTATTTCTTTAATTTGCTATCTGATGGAAACAAAAAATGATAGAGGACCGTTTCTCGTGGTTGTGCCCTCTTCGGTTCTTCCTGGTTGGGACTCAGAAATAAACTTCTGGGCTCCTGGTGTTCATAAAATTGTCTATGCTGGACCGCCAGAGGAGAGACGTCGGTTATTCAAGTAATTAGACTTTAGGATATTAACTCCCTTAATCTGCTTTATTGGTTATGCCTTGGTGTGTGTCTTATCAGTTCTTTCATATTTTAGGGAAAGGATAGTTCAACAGAAATTCAATGTTCTTTTGACTACATATGAATATTTGATGAATAAGCATGATAGACCAAAGCTGAGCAAAATACATTGGCATTATATAATAATTGATGAAGGCCATCGCATAAAGAATGCTTCTTGCAAGTTGAATGCTGACTTGAAACACTATCAGAGCTCTCACAGATTGCTATTAACTGGAACACCTTTGCAGGTTTTTTTCCCTTTTCCCTTTAGCTTTATATATATATATATATATATATATATATATGTATGTATGTATATATATGTATGTATGTATGTATGTATGTATGTATATGTGTGTTTGTGTGTGCTTGTTGGGAATAAATTAAAGGTTCTGCTCAACCTTTATTGGAGGCTATTGATATGCCCTTTATCTCACTTTTTCCCTTCTTTTATAGCGTTTAATGTTATATGACTACTGGTTTCCTTATTTTATAATTTATATTTATATGCAGAACAATCTTGAAGAGCTATGGGCACTACTTAATTTCTTGTTACCAAACATATTCAATTCATCGGAGGACTTCTCTCAATGGTTTAATAAGCCATTTGAGAGTGCTGGAGATAGCTCACCTGATGAAGTAAGTTTTGGATTATTTATATATACACACACTGTCATTAAATTTACATATTTTTGATTTCAATTTAAGCCTCATTGATTTTTATGTACTAATTGCGTTGTTTTCTATTTATAAATACTTAATAGGCTCTATTATCCGAGGAGGAAAATCTCTTGATCATAAATCGTCTGCACCAAGTTTTGAGACCCTTTGTACTCAGGAGATTGAAACACAAGGTTTTTAATACTGAACTCAAGCTTAATAAATGTAGTTCCTACTCCTCCTTGAAACACTTTGTACTCAGGAGATTGAAACACAAGGTTTTTAATCGTCATAAAAAATTATAAAAATGAGCTTCATAAAGCTACTAGAATTTAGTTGAATATCTGGTGCAATATAGAATTGTTGTTATATGATGAAATGCAAGTCAGGTCTGTTATTCAACCAAAGTCTTTACTCTTTTTTGTATCAAGCTTTATGAATTGAATTATGATTTTTTAAAACTGCAATCTAGCATTTGTACTTGGAAAAAATGCTTAATTTTTTCATTTCTTTGAATTTTTAACTTAAAAATATTTTTTTATCTTTTCATTTCGTTTTCTAACTTTTAGGATTTGTGATGAAATCAAGGAGAACTGTTTTTTTCTGTGTTTCACACGTCTTGAACAAAGGAAAAAATGATGTGACTCTTTTTGTAACCAAAAGTATAAGTAGAAGACAGTTTCTCTAGCCAAGTTCTTTTATATTGTCTGCCCTGAAGAACGTATTAGATTCTGAAATCATCATTCTACTGTTCTTGTGCTTACGATTTATTTTAGGTTGAAAACGAGCTCCCTGAGAAGATCGAGAGACTAATAAGATGTGAGGCTTCTTCATATCAAAAACTTTTGATGAAGAGGGTGGAAGAAAATCTTGGTTCTATTGGCTCTTCAAAGGTATCTTTTTTATTACTTTATTATGTGTTGGACACTGTTTCTTAACCTTTTAATATTAGATGTAGAAAACATACATTTTTGCTCTGCTGGTCTAATTGAAATTTATAATTGTTAGGCTCGATCAGTACACAACTCTGTCATGGAGCTTCGAAATATATGCAATCATCCATATCTCAGCCAGCTTCATGCGGAGGAGGTATATTCATATCTCTGCCAGCTTCATCCAGAAAGAAATAAATTTCTTTACAGAGGCTATATGTTACACTTCCAAATAGTGTGTTCTCTGTCTGAAGTAGTCAATTTTGTTTATTTGACTGCTTCAGCAGACAGTGAAGTATTGTGATTATATATTTGTTATTGTTTACTTTTTGTTATACTGCAGTATGACTTTTTGCTGTTTGCAGGTGGATAACTTCATACCTAAACATTATCTGCCACCAATTATTCGGCTCTGTGGGAAGCTTGAGATGTTGGACCGTTTATTGCCTAAATTAAAGGCTGCAGATCATCGGGTATGAAGTATCCTTTATAATCATTGCTAAATTTTACTACATTTAACTGATTTCTTGTCAGTATTGTTTTGAGTTGCTATAACTGAAGATATTTTGGAATCCTATTTTCCATGCTTGCATTTTTTCGTTCAAGATCTACTAGCTGCTTTTAATTTGGAATGTGTTTAACAGTTCATTCTCCCTTTGCCAAATCTATGAAAGTAAACTTGTTGTAATGGGTACCTTATTATTAACGTTTTGTTTTGGAAATTTAGCTTTTATCGTCTTATTATATCTTCATACTGTCTATGCATTTTCAGGTTCTTTTCTTTTCAACAATGACTAGGCTGCTGGATGTTATGGAGGAGTACCTAACCTTGAAGCAGTATCGGTACCTTCGGTTGGATGGACATACCTCAGGAGGTGATCGTGGTGCTCTGATTGAACTATTTAACCAACCTGATTCTCCATATTTTATTTTCTTGCTCAGGTAACTTAAATGTCTACTACAGCACTAAATTAAAAAAATTGAATTGGGGGAAAACGATTCTTTTAGGGTTGGGGGAGGGTGGTTTCCAAGATATTTAGTTCACTGCCTACTATTGACATCTATATATATGGACTTTTGTTCAAATCTTAATCTATATTTTATTATTAAATTTTAGGCTCTATTTGGTTTGAGAAATTTTTTTCTATTTGTCATGATTTCCTGTTTTCATTTTCTGAATACAATGTTTATTTCCAGGTTTTCACGATGTAGAATTTTTTTTTCTATTTTCATATCATGGTTCTGTTTTTTTTTTTCATGATATGGATTTGTGTATTATGGAGTGCCTAACTTGCACATCAAGTAGAATGAAATGCTCAGCAGAGTATTTAGGTGCTTAGTTCTGCCAACTTAACAATTAATTTTGAAGGATGAGTTCCCCCAGTGGGTTAGTGCTTATCAATTGGTACCTAAACTGTTGTTGCTGTTGTTGTTTTCTCAAAAAGAGCTATATATCAGTTCATTCAGGAATATGCTCCACCACAACCTGCTTGGCTAGAGCCTTTTCTCTGACAAAGAAGAGATCTAGTTCCATACGTTTAGTCTAGGTAGGTAAAACCGAATTTTGAGTATTTTCAATAATTGTGTTTATTGTTGGAATGCTGTCCTAATAGTGGTCACCCTTGCCCTGTTTTAATAGTGGTCTCTTTGGAGGCTGCCTTAATTCCAGCCTTTAGGGGGTAGTGTTTAGTCAGGTTGAGAATAGTACTGTGGCGGAGTGGAGTGGTCCCTGGCCGCAGCAAGGCCTCTGTAGTGGCCTGAAAGTGGTAATACGCTGTTTTTCTTTTTATTTTTCTGAAAATTTGTAGCCTGTCCTCCTTTGACACTTCTATCTTACACATCTCTTCTGGCCACCTCTGGTGGTGTGCTGGTGGTCATCTTTGGTGGTATGTGACCATTCTGCAGTTGCTTAGCCTTGTCTGGGTAGCAAAAAGTTTTCTAGAGAAGAGATGGTTTGGGTCTGTGAGGAGGTGACTGCTGGATGGGTGATGCGAGAAATTTGCTAGTTTTTTTTGGTCTATAAAATAAGGGAGGATGTTGGGCCCGAGTCCCCATTGGACCAAAGCAGTCCAGTAATAGAGATAATTGCAACATATAATAATAAGTATATGTAAAAAAATGTAATGACTATACAGAATTAATGCAATAATATGAATTAGAATAACAAAAAATATATAAAAATAATATTAATAAGCAGTTGAATGGTATAGATATACGTATATGTTATAGAATAAATTCAAAATAGCAGTCATCACGCTGTCCTGCACTAGCATTTTTTTGGTTGGCTGCTATGCGCCGCCATCCAGTATTTAAAACATTTGTGTTTAGTTCTTCATTGCCTATTAATGTTTTAAACTAGAGCATATCAAGGGTTTTTGGGACTTAGCTAGGTCCTAAGCCCAAATATGCTTTATTTTGATTGTGCTTGCAGATATTTCTTGTAGATATTTCACTGCTGTAACTTGGAAGTTATCATTTGTCTTCCTATGATTGAAAACTTGTGCTAAATTGGGTATACGTTGTAATTATTTTTTCCTGTAATTTTTTGGAGGGAGTTTGTTTTGAAACTTGTTTAACAATTCTTTCCCCATATTGCTTCATGTTGTTTAAATGTAATCTAAAAGGACCTATCAAATCAGAGCTAATTCATGTTGTATACATGATAAACCATTAACTTGTATTATCTTTTATATTGCTGACATTCATCTATTGTCTAAAAAAGCATTCGAGCTGGTGGTGTTGGAGTGAATCTTCAAGCTGCTGACACAGTGATCTTATTTGACACTGACTGGAATCCCCAGGCAACGAAATTTCTTTCATATGATTTTCTAAATAAATTGTATGCTTTTGTGAATAATTTGTGACATTTGTTGATTTATTTTCAGGTTGATCTTCAAGCCCAAGCCAGGGCTCATCGAATTGGTCAAAAGAGGGATGTTCTTGTTCTTCGGTTTGAAACTGTTAGTGTTTTTCCCTTTGAAACGGTCATATATCAAATTGTTTAAGTAATACATGATTTGAGTTATATTTTCCCTGGGGAATAGTTTTTAATACATGTATAGCCTGTGGTGAGTACGTGAGGCAAACGCAGTTTAATTTGTACTGCTTTATGCATTAATGATTTTTAGCTTTTAATTACAGTTTCCTTTTTTTTGTAAAATATTTGTATTACTATTCTTTGAAACCATAGTGAATTACATATTTTGTTGTCATTGTATTGATATTTTATCCCTTTATTCTTTTTTTGGGGCTTTTAAAATTTTTGACTTTTTCCGGTATCTACCTTGCCTGCTTAATGGTTCAGATTGATGGTAGCTTTTTACTTGTTAATTCTATAGCGTGACTGAAAATTTAGTTATATTGTTTTCATATATGTTGAAGTTGCTTCTTCTGCTTGCAATTTAATAAGGTTCAAACTGTTGAAGAACAAGTCAGAGCTTCAGCTGAGCACAAACTTGGTGTTGCTAATCAGAGCATTACTGCTGGTTTTTTTGATAATAATACAAGGTTGTCGATGCTGTCATGTTTCATTTTTATCTGATTACATTTCTGTGTCAGTTCTGAAGTTCTGTTGTCTGTCATTAAATGCAGTGCTGAAGATCGAAGAGAATACTTAGAAGCGCTCCTGCGTGAGTGTAAGAAAGAAGAAGCTGCACCTGTTTTGGATGATGATGCTCTGAATGATGTCTTAGCCCGCAGGTTCTCTTTTGAATCCTTTTCTCACCACCTGTTTATTAACTACAGCCTATTATCCGTGCTTTAAGATGATTGAGTTGTTTAATTTTCTGTCTTTTATGCATATTTAATTTGTCAATTTTTGAGAATGTCAGCTTGGTGGGTGTAGTAGTAATTAGAGAAAATTTTGGAGATGTATTTTTATATTCTCCATTTAATTAATTACATAATGTGGTTCCTGATGTATTAGTGCCATTACAGCATTATACCCTCTGCTATGCTGATTCAAATCTCAGATTATCGTCATACTTTGTACATGGTGCTATTAAAACCTTTGATTATTGATAAGATCTTTAAGTATGGCAAATGTTTTCTTTCTTCATTCTAATTGCATTAAAAATAATATTATAACTACCTTATAATTTAGTTTTCCCACTTTTGGCTATTCTTTCTACCCGAGTTGTGTTAGAAGAGAGAAGAAGAAAAGAGAATTCATGCATATTTTGTTTTTGTTTTGCAGCGAAACAGAGTTAGATATATTTGAGGCTGTTGACAAAAAAAGGAAGGAAGATGAGCTGGTATTGTATTGTGTATTTGCATAGCTTTTTCATCAGACATATAGTTTTTTAACTGCTATTGTGAAACGAAGAATCTCATTGGTGCTCCTAAAATAATGTTCAGGCTACATGGAAGAAATTGGTGCATGGACAGACAGCTGATGGATCTGATCTTATTCCTCCACCTCCTACTCGTCTGGTCACTGATGAGGATCTGAAACAGTTCTATGAAGCAATGAAGATATCTGACGTCCCTAAGGTTGTGGTAGAATCTAGTGGAGTAAAGCGAAAGGGTGGATATCTTGGAGGCCTTGATACTCAACAATATGGCAGGGGAAAGCGTGCAAGAGAGGTTTGTCTATAAATTTTATTCATTTAGATTTTGCGTTCAACATACCTTCATAGTGAGTTTTATATAGGCTTAAACTTGTGTAATTTTGATGAACATAACTTGACATGTGATGTGTGAAAAGCAAAAGAATCATACTCGTTTATTACCTTGTGTTAGATGATGTACTGAGCAATTCCTAATTGATGTGAACATTGTGCAGGTACGTTCCTATGAAGAGCAATGGACAGAGGAAGAGTTTGAAAAGATGTGTCAAGTTGAAGCTCCAGATTCACCCAAAGTAAAAGAAGTGGCAGAAATGAGTTATCCGACAAATACTTCCAGCTCTATTGTATCTACTTCCAACCCCGAACCTGAGGTGGCCGTGTCTCCAGTGGCCCCAACATTGCCATCTGTGGAGAGTTTGCCTGTACAGCAAGCTAAAGAGATAACTCCCCCAGCCAAACGTGGTCGTGGACGACCAAAAAGAATAACATCTGATAAGTCCCCAGCTGTGATGGGCCCTCCAGTAACTTCTGGAACTGTTGAAGTAGACACACAGTTGCAAAAGGGATCTGGGTCTGGACACTTAGCATCATCAGCTGCTGATTCTGTTTCTCATTCTTCTGAAGTTACAAGTGTGAATGCACCCGTGCAGCAGTCTGATACAGGAGTTTCTCCTAATGCACGTCCTGCCATTCCTGTGCCCACTATTCCACCAAATTCTCACGTAGCTGCTGTTCCTGTTGCTGTATCTATTCAAGCAAGAGGACCAGGGCGGAAAAATCATGGTAGTGAAGGGATTAGACGTAGAGGAAAGAAGCAGGTCATGGTTCCTCCTCCTGTCCCGGGTGGTTCTGTTGGTCCTGATGTAAAGGTGAATGAGAAATTGGATAATAAATTGGTGAGTCCTTCTGGTCAAGCTATCTCCCAGGGTGAAGTTGTTCCCAGTTTGGCTGCAGTAGCCTATCCATCTTCTGCTTCTTTGAACAGTGGTCTGGGTGCTGGGACTGTTTTGAATTCTCAGGCACCCCATCCCTCACCCTCTAATACAACATTGGTTCATACGATAACCACTCATCCATCTGAACAGATGCCAAGTAAAGGACAAAATCAGAAGTCGCAAACTGGAGTTTCACGTCGTAGGGGGAAGAAGCAGGCACCAATGTTGGCTCCAGTTCCAGATGTTTTACATGAGGATTCAGATCAAACTGCAAATTTACCTATATCATCAGGAAGTGCTGTAGTTGAAAAAGCCACTGAATTAAAGAGCTTGCAAGTGAACAATGTTCCAGAATCAAAATGTGTTGTCCAGGATCAAGCATCACAGAACCTAGGTGATCAGGATTTAAAATCATTGGAAGGATCAGAGGACTCAGCTAAACAGACAGTGATCACGCCTTCATGTCAAGATAGTATGACCAAATTTCCAGGTGAAATTTGGCACTGTAGTATTGAAGTTCTTATTAGTCTTTTCATTTATTTTAGAGAAGAATTTTGATATAAACTATTTTTTTTTGCAGGGAAAGATCTTGAGAAGGTTAAGAATCTTGAGGTGCATGATGCTTCTGTAAAGATTGTTAAATCTTCTGAAATAACCTCGTCAAAGGTTGATGAAGTTTGCAATAACTCACGGACTGAAACTTCATTTCTCACAACAGTGCCTGTTGCTGAGGCAACGAAAGATCAGCTTTCGGGTGGCAAAACCCATACTCCAACCGTTGAAACTACAAAAATCATCCCTTCAGTTGTTGATACTCCTACTAATACTGATGCCATCAATAAGTCTTTAGATCCTGTGAATCCAAAGATTGTTCCCAGTACATTAAGCACTATTAATCCTTCCACTCCAGCCTCTGAAAGTACTCTTTCAGGCTCAATTGAATCCATCCCTTCCAGAAGGCAAGGTCGGAAAACTCAAAATAGAGCTGAGCCACCAAGACGAAGGGGTAAAAAATCAGCTTCAGTGTTACCTGTTGTTCCTGATGCAGTTACGGGTCAGGATCCTAAGTTAAGTCATCATGCACAGAATTCATCAGGGGATTCATTGCAAGGTAAAGCCACTGCCAATATCAGTCAAACCCAATCCTTTGAGATCCTTTTACCCAGTGGAGTAGTCAGTCATGAGTCAAAAAGAAAAGACAGAACAACCAATTCTACCCAAAATAAGCAAATGAAAGTTACAAGGATTGACAGTGCACCTATCTCCGCAGATAAGATTTCTGTGCATGATGTTGCTAGGGTAATGAAGGAAGTTTTCTCTGGAACTTGCTTACCAAAGCCCAAAGCTCATGATTCTGCCGGGAGTGAGGATAAAAATTCAACTGTTGGACATGTAATGACTAAAGCTGCAGTATGTGGCTCCAATAACCACCAGACTTTGGAGGATAAAGCACGTTCTGATATAACATCTAGTGGTGCAGCATGCCTAACTTCGGATGCTGTTGTGAATGTTCCTGAAAAACAATCAGAACCAGCATCCAGTATGCCAAATTTGGAGGGTAAAGCTAATTTAAATATGCCAACTACCGGAGAACATAGCCTGCTATCAGATGTTAAAGAAAAGGATGAACAGACTCAACATTGTGTTGAAAACTCAATCACAGAGTGTAAAATAGCTCTTGATCCAACTGTCAGTGCTGTTGAAAAGACTGGTGGTTATCCTGAGAAACTTCCTACCAGTGATTTAAGTATAGATTCGAGTAGCCATCAGATATGTTCATCTTCTAGTGCTGGATCTCTTGTGGTAATTGATCAAAATAAACTTGGAGACCAATCTGATGTTTCTGAGGAGTGTTTAAGACCTTCTGCACTTGATATTGGTGGCCCAGGATGCACGCTAACTCCATTGGAACCCAAAACTTCTAGTAATAATCATGAATCTACTCAGACTGATATGTGTACTCAGAGCCATTCATCCACAAACAAACGTCTGGATGACACAGAACAAATTTCTACTGAAAAATTGGATACTGACAGCTCTGGGTTATTGGTTAAGACTGAAAATTTAGGTGATCAACCACAAGTGACCTCATCTAGTCCTGCAACAGGTCCTCCTCCAAGTACAGTGATAGTTTCTATTGTTTCGAAACAAAATGAAGTTAAAAATGAAACCGAGTTTGCCTTAAAAGCTTCTGCTGAACTCTCCTCTGATGATGGGATTGTTGGGTGTAAAATTCCAGATTCAGAGTTGCTGAAACCTGAGAATCCGATTACATTTGAACATGATTCTCAAAAGCCATTAGAACCCCCTGTGAAGCAGTGTTCAGAATCAGCTTCTGAAATGGAAGATCCTGTGGGTGCTAAGGCTGTTAAAATTGAGAAACATTCAAATGCTCTAGAACCTGATTTGGATGATACTCCATTGATTGAGAGTTGTGCAAAAATTCTCTCCGAAGAAGAAAAGGATGATGTGAATTTCATATGTGAACAGCTTCAGTCTGGTTCCCAAGAAAATATAGTATTACCCAATCCCATTGACAATCCGAAGACTTCATCTGAGGCTTGCCATGTAGAAATTGACACATCTGACAGGTTAGTGTTGCCACAGCCTTCAGGTTTGGAAGCTGTAGGGAATGATTTAAGAGGTGATTCTGGTGTTGGCAGTTTTGTAGAGGGAACTATATCCGAAGGTGCAGTCCTGTCCCAGTCAACCATGGTTGAAGAGCAAAATAGGGGCTCAGAACCTTTGGAAGAGTCAATGGAGAAGGATGTGGCCAACAACTCTGGATTCCAGGAGGAAGTAAAAGTTGATGAAGTGGAGGCTGATGGTCTAATGAATTCTTCTATTAGTCAGACTGTGCTTGTAAAACATGACGCTTTTCAAGAAAATATGAATTTGTCCTCCCATCCAATGACAAAGGAAGAAAACATAGAAGGATCAACTGTGAGGAGCCTATCTATCAGCATTTCTCCTTCAAATGGATTGAAGGATTCTAAATCTGAACTAGGCCATAAAGATATATCTGCTGTTGGTAATTCTCAGATTGGATCTGAAGATAGTATGTTGAAGAGCTTGGGTGTAGTTTCATCTCCTTCGGTGAGGAAGGAAGAAGGGGTCAGTTCTACCCCTGATATTGATGGCCTTGAAGGTCAGTCAGTGTCTCTGAGGGTACCTGTTTCCTCTAATGACTTGCTTGGTAAATCAAAGTTTCATCAATTAATAACTGTCCCAGATGCTGTGGAGCCTTCATTGTCTCAACTGAAAGAGGAAGAAAAGATTGGGGTATTATCTGATTGTAAATTAGTTGTGGGGTCTGTCTCTGAAAAGGACATCGAAGGATCTGGTCTCTTGCCAGAAGATCCAGTGCTGGAAATCAATAAAACGTCATCAGATTCCCCGATTATTGTTACCGACTCTTCGGAGGCTCAAGTGTCTTTGGTAAAAGGAGACTGTGAAGAAGTTCGAATGAGTGATCAAATGGATGTTTCTGAGGTTTCTCGGAATGATTCAGAAAGGTTTTCTTCCAATAGCCAGAATGATCCTTCTTGTTTGCAGATGGAGAGAGATAATGCTAATGTGTTATCTGACAGGGGCCCTCTCTTCAGTTCGTTTGGTCCAGGCGAAAGATATCCTCTGATTGAGAATTGTAGGGATGACATCATGGTATGTTTTGTACATATTTAGCAGATCTGGTTTCAAATTTTTTCTCTAATTATGTACTAACTTCGTTTATGCAGGAACCTATTGCAAATCCGTTATTGCAAAATAAATCAGAATGTTCTGAATCTGAGAAGGTTGAGATGAATACATCTGATGTTGGCTGCGTTGATCCAGAACTGGTGGCCAAAAGCACAGATTTGCCTTCTTCTTTGATGGAGGAAGAAAAAGCTGATATTTCATGCAGGAGCCCATTGGCTGGTGCAGAACCAATGACTGGAGAGAATTGTGAAGATGCTAGTGAGGTATGACATTTGGCAACTATTAGTATACTGGTCGTTACTGTCCCTTCAATTTTAGTCTTGTATCATTTCAGCTGGAGTTCCTTACAAATTCATTAACTTTACAGGAACCAAATCGTTCAGAAGCTGAGATCGGTAATCAAATGGATGCATCTGATGCTGGGGTTAATACGGAACAACTTTCATCAGGTGACGTTATTGAGCCATCATCTTCCTTGATAATTGAGGACAATAAGATTGTTTTGTCATCTGTAAAGGTTCCACATCTGACTGAAGAGGGGAGCTGTAAAGATTCTAGGGAGGTTAGTTATTTTGCACCTACATAATAATGTCTTCTGCCATAATTCTCCCTTTCTTTAACTTCCATCATGAATTAATTTCTTTAGGGTCCATCTACAAATCCAGTACTGCTACAGGAATTAAATAATAATTCCGAAGCTGAGATTTGTGATCAAGGCAGTACACAGGTTGGTCTCCCCTTTAGACTATGCAAAACTCTTTTATCTTGGTTTTACAGTGAGTTGTTTTGCTTCATTTATGAGGTAATTGATTTGAACAATTCATTTAATATTCTATCTAAAAGCGTATTCCGAGGGTAAGAATTTTTTCTGTTGAAAGTAAAACAATTTAAAATTTAGGCTGCATGGCTGTGTTTATTGGGATTTTACACTTATTTGTAACATCCCATTTTGCAAGAACTGCGTTGTTTCTCTTCTAATGCCCTAAATATGGTATCAGTATTGGGAATTATCACTTTAGACAATTTGGGCGATGATTTTATATTTACCTGTACAGCTTTCATGGTTTTGTCTGCATTAAAAAGTCTGTTATCTAATGTTTCCATTACTTCTGGCCTTTGATTTTGTATTGCATCCTAGGTTGGTGAGACACCTGTGGATGTAGTCAAAGCATCAGAGGTGGAAAGAGAGGTGAAGACATTGTCTGATGAGGGTCCACAAGGAATATTCGAAACCCAGGTTGAATCAAGAGGAGTGGCTGACAGTGAGGTCAGGACAGATAGTAAAAGCTGTGCTACTGAGATCGAAAATGTATCTGAAGTCCCAAATTCCTCAGTATCGGTTGAACAGGTGGATGACTTATCTAATGAAGGTATTGTTGGCAGCCAATCAATAATGCAGGTGCCGGAAGATTCTGAAGCTATTGCGGGTGTTGAGATTGATGTTACTCCAGATTGTTTGGATCCCTCGGTATCAGTTGAGAAGGTGGATGGCTTATCCAATGAAGGTATTGTTGGCAGCCAACCAAGAATGCAGGTGTCAGAAGATTCTGAAGCTATTGCGGGAGATGGAATTGATGTTACTCCAGATTGTTTGGATCCCTCAGTAACAGTTGAGAAAGTGGAAGGGTTGTCTAAGGAAGGTTTACTTTGCATCCAAGCAAAAGTGCAGGTATCGGAAGATTCTGAAGCTGTTATAGGAGATGGGATTGATATTACTCCAGGTTGTTTGGCTGTGCCAGAGACTGTGACAATTGTTGAGGATTCATCTATCTGCTCTTCAACAGTAGGGAGTGAACATGTGGACAACTTGTCTGAAGCAAACATTGACACTAAAGAATCTAAAACAGAAGTTGACACTAAAGAATCCGAATCTGGTGTGTGTAACCAGGAAAATCAAGTAGTGCAAGAAAAGGCATCAGAATGCAGGGAACGTGAGAAGGATTTGGATGGCAACACTTCAGCAAAACTTGACCCCAAAGAATCTGAAGCTGGTGATTGTAACCAGGATAATGAAGAAAAAACAGTGAAAGACATTGAAAAATCCACGCCTGTAGCTGAGGGCTCCTCCTAGAAATGTTTTGAGTGCCTGCTCAAGAAATACAGAAGGAATAAAAAGAAATATGAAGTTGAGGATGGAAGCATTGTCGGATTGTAAATGAAAAAACGCCTGGATAAGGCTTTGGATGAGATGAATTCAGGTGGAAGAAAGTGCCCATGAATCTGGAAGCAACTAATGAAACCTGCCCTTGTATATATTATAATATCATATATATAGGGATTTTTTTTGTAAATATTTGTTGTAATTTTCTTTATATATCCTGCTGGATATCCTATTACTTAATCTTGTCGTATGATTATAGGTCTAACATCTGTCCAATTATTAGCTGTTTTTGCCATTGACGATTGGTTGAAATGGTATCCCATTACCTCTACATGAATAGGATATTTCATCTTTAATAATCAAGCAAACCATAGTGAAAACTTTATAAGAAATGTTTTATTTTAATTATTTCTGAATGCAACAGACGTAGGTAGGTTTGGAATTTCTTCAGTGAATTTAATCAATATATAGCAAAAAATTACTCAAAAAGTAAACTCTCTTAATGTTGGTCCTCAGGTTTTTGTTACAAAGTAAATAAATATTTTTTTATTTAATTCTTTCATTTTCCGTTTCCTCATTCAGTGTTTTATATGTACCTCTTTGTACTTTTATAAAAAGATTTAAAATGTTTTATTCAACAATTAATAGTTTTCTTATTTGATTTGACTAGGTAGATAAATAAGACAACAAAAATGTACAAAAGAAAGGTTTAAATTCTTTAGCACTAGAAATTTAAGATAAATTTATATCCCATTTTTTCAAATTTGGAAATGGTCATTTAGTAATTTTATATTTGAAAAGATAGTGATGTCTATTAAAAAAATTATAAATCCAATTGTTTGTGAATAGCATATTATTAATAAAAAAAATTGATTTTTATTTTATTATCAAATGTAATATTTTATTTTAATTTTCGTAAGATATTCCAAAAGTAAAAATATTATTTAGTATCTCATTAAAAGTATTTTTTTTAAAAATAAATAAAAGTAAATTCAAACCAAATCCATGATCAAATAATAATTTTAAACTAAAGCTAAGCTCCTTTATACATTAGAAGTTATATTTATGAAAAAAAAATCCAAACTAATTTTAAAGGTAAAATAAAATATCTTTTAAATCTTTCTCTACTTACCATATTCATATCAGTCGATTTTTCAGTATAATAATTTTTTTCCCTAATAACATGATAAACTTTAAATTTCATATTTTACAAGAAACTAGACATTTTCTCCGTCATCCTTTAAAGAGTTTAAAAAATTATATTTTAAATATAAATTTTTTTACAAACTTGAGTTATATTCCAACCAAATATGAGAACTCCTCCTTCATGACACATTCCTTATAGATAACTCCGTCATTCTTTATTTTTTTTAGAGTATAACATTCTTTTCCTATCGTCTTATTTTTCCCCTTTTCTACCCATCAAATATCTATTTTCTCCCACCAATATATAGCTATTGACATATGTATAATTAAATTGAAAATTCAAAGTATTATAAACTAGCATTAAAATATATTTTAAAATATAAAATTCAAGATAAGTAATATCATTATAAATAACATATAATATTCCTTAAACTATAATTTTTCAATAAAATTTTAAATGAGTATTAAACTTAGCATGGATAACAAATTGAATCTATCATTATTTGAATTTGTCTCAATTTTAATAAAAAAAATTACATTAATTAAATACGAACATGAGTAATACTTAACTGAATATCTAAATAAATATCATTTCAAATTAATATGTAAATAAATGAAGAAACTAGGAAATGAGATGGATATTTTTCACTTCGAGTGATACCTGCAACCAATCCTCATTTCAAATAAACATAGTTGAGTAAGGTGTATCTGTCGTTATTAAGTTCAAATATTCCGTATAAAAAAAGTGCCAAAAATTATTAGTAACCAATGAAAAACAAAGGTATTTTGTCACATAGAATACGCATCAGTTTCAGATTTTCAGCTAGCTACTATACAATTGTGGTTGTGGCATAGCTGCTTCAAAGCTTAGTTCTTAGAAAACTAAAATCTGAATGAATGGCATGCGCATTTATTTGTTCCGCACTACATCTAAGATTGTAGAACTGGCTCGTTTGGGTAAAATCAGCCATGCTCGCAAACTGTTCGATGAAATACCTCATAAAGACTTGGTTGCATGGAATGCTATGCTAACAGCCTATTCCCACTTAGGACTTTACCAGCAGAGTCTTAGTCTCTTTGGCAGCATGAGAGTATCCCATTCCAAACTCGACAACTTCTCCTTCTCTGCAGCCTTAAACGCATGCGCTGGTGCATCCCATCTTCGTTTTGGAGCAACACTACATGCTTTGGTAATTGTATCAGGCTACTTGTCTTGTCTTCCTGTGGCTAACTCGCTCATTGACATGTATGGCAAGTGTCTGCATCCTGATGCTGCAAGAAAAGTGTATGATGAGATGAGTGATAACAATGAAGTGACATGGTGTTCACTTCTGTTTGCTTATGCCAACTCTAACCGGTTTGATACGGCTATTAAACTGTTTCGCAGCATGCCTGAAAAGGTTGTGATTGCTTGGAATATAATGATTGCGGGTCATGCTCGTTGCGGTGAAGTTGAAGCGTGCTTGCATTTGTTTAAAGAGATGTGTGAGAGTTTGTGTCAGCCAGATCAGTGGACTTTTAGTGCTCTCGTGAACGCTTGTGCTGAGTCAATGGAGATGCTATACGGATGCATGATGCATGGTTTTCTGGTAAAATCTGGTTGGAGCTCTTACATGGAGGTAAATAACTCGATTTTAAGCTTTTACGCTAAATTAGAATGTCATGATGACGCCATAAGGGTGTTTAACTCCTTTGGATGTTTTAATCAAGTGTCTCGGAATGCCATCATTGACGCTCATATGAAATCAGGGGATACCCATAACGCTTTTCTTGCTTTCCAGCAAGCTCCTGAGAAAAATATTGTTTCTTGGACTTCTATGATTGCAGGGTATACGAGAAATGGGAATGGAGAGCTAGCTTTAAGTATGTTTTTAGACATGACAAAAAGATCTGTGGAGCTTGATGATCTGGTAGCTGGAGCAGTCCTTCATGCTTGTGCTAGCTTGGCGATACTGGTTCATGGAAGAATGATCCATGGCTGCATTATTCGTCATGGTTTAGACAAGTATTTATATGTTGGGAATAGCTTGGTTAATATGTATGCAAAATGTGGGGACATAGAAGGTTCACGGCTTTCATTTCATGGCATTCGTGAGAAGGACTTGGTTTCTTGGAATTCAATGTTATTTGCATTTGGACTGCATGGGAAGGCCAATGAGGCCATAGGTTTATACAGAGAAATGGTGGCATCTGGTGTGAAACCTGATGAAGTAACTTTCACAGGGCTGTTAATGACTTGCAGCCATTTGGGGCTTATAAACGAGGGCTTTGAGTTCTTTCAATCCATGAGTTTGGAATTTGGATTTTCCCATGGAATGGACCATGTGGCATGCATGTTGGATATGCTTGGTCGCGGTGGATACGTGGCAGAAGCAAGAAGTTTAGCTAAGAAGTATTCAAAGAGCAGCAAAGGTAGGAGCAATTCATGGGAGGTTGTACTAGGAGCATGTTATGCACATGGAGATTTAGAAACCGGAAGGCGTGTGGGAGAATATCTAAAGAAGTTGGAGCCTGAAAAGGAGATTGGTTATGTGTTGTTGTCAAATTTGTATTGTGCAAGTGGGCAGTGGAAGAATGCAGAGACAGTTCGGAAGGCAATGGTTGATCAGGGGGTAAAGAAAGTGGTTGGTAGTAGTTGGATTGAGATAAGAAACGAGATGACCTCTTTTGTATCTGGAAACAATGCCTATCCCTTCATACCTGAGATATCTAAGATACTTCACTTTCTTCAATTGGAAATCAGACAGGCATGACCTATTCATTTTGGTATTGGAGAACCTTCCTAAACTAGTGAAAATATTTTCATATACAATTTTTATTCTCAACTTTGGTGACACCTCAGATTAGTTTAAGTTCTTTCAAACTATAAGGCACAACCCACCCTGTCTTTGCCTTTGGCAACGAATGATATGTGGCTATTAATCTCCTAACTTATCACATTTTATTTTTCTTGAATATGGTATTGTGTTCAGTTTAAAATATAAAATAATTTTTATACATTTATTTATGTTAAGTGAATGTAAAATTTCTCATCAAAATTGAAAGTAATTAAAAAATAATAATTATAAGGACAAATTTATTTACTTCCTAATGTTATTCAAGCCAGCCGTGTGAGTTACTTACCATTATTAATTATGATTATAAGTAATCTGATCAACTTGCTTAGAAAAAATAACTTTAAACTTGTCTCATTTCATGTCTTTTGCTTCTGCCTTGACCAAATTAGGCAAATGTAACATAGGTGTAAATCACTACAATAAGTAACATGTTGTTTGAATAAACATTTCTCCTTTTGAAGAATTTCCCTAATGCAGAACTTCCAAATGGAACTGACTATACTTTAATAGTGCAACATAAAAAGTTTTAAAATTTAGATAAAATTACATTAAACAATTAAGGGAAGTTATATAAATGTTGGATTTTCCATCCCCTTCATAAATGTTTCCCTAATTATGCTCCTTCACAAACTTTTGTCAAAACCAGGAGAATCTATCAAAATAGAGAATTATCAATATAAGTTATTAACTTTAAAATCATGGATGATTTTATTTATTTTTCTTATGTCTATAAATACTACATGCTCATAGACAACAAATCATTTTATTTTTTTTAACTTATTTAATCAAAATTTTGGAAGTTAATATTTTATAATAAATAAATAGAGATATATTTCTAATATACCACTTATATTAGGAAATAAAATAATAACAAAATCTTTAATTAATAAAGATAATGAAATTAAAGAGATGTTTAATAATGAAAAAGAAGAAAGTATTGATTGTTAAAAGATTGTTTAAAAATGATGATTTGTTTTTTATTTATTTTTAATTATATTAAAGATTAAAAGTTATCATTTTATGTAGCAAAATGCATTTTAAAACACGTTGTTTTTGTGACAAGTTTTAATTGTGTATACATTTGAAGACCAAGCTGAAATGACCATTTTATATTTTAAGCCATAGAGAATAATATTCTTTGTTGTATAAACCAAATTCATAAATATCTAGCTTTAAAAAAATAATTTTCAAACCTAAAAATTTTATTTTTTAGTTGGATCGGGTTAAAAAATGTTGGGTTGGACTTGAAAAATCCAAATTGAAGGCCCACAACACTGTGATTATTTACGAAGGTGCCCATGTCTCCATGTTTTTTCTCTGTCACTTTCAGAAGTGAGAAGTCATCGCCCTTTCGTTTCCTTTCCCTTCTTCCGAAGGTCCGTTCAACCCCATTGCCTAACCTTTTGCAATCCCCTTTTGTTTTTCCCTTTCTTTTTCAGTTAATGCTTTAAGCTATTTTATTTTGCATTCATTTCCTTGTCCCCTTTGTATTTATGTTAATGCATGTTCAGATTCTTAACCCTGGCATGAAGTTCAAAACTAATGTCTTCCTTCACGCGTAATGTAACACTTGCTTCCATTTTTTTTTTAAAATTATTTCTATAAATCTTTTTCCTTCCGTTTTCCCGAAATAGTTAGGGTTTTACCTATTATTTGAATATGTCATGGTTTTGGAGTTTATTGTTGAATGCTTTTCTTTCCTTGCACGTTTTGACTTGGTTGTGGTGTTGAAGGCTTTTTACTTTTTTTTTATCGCTTTTTGATGTTGTTGTATTCGGGTATTTTAATCTGTCGCCACTGTTATTCTGTAGATATTCAGCTTGTTTCGTGTCTGATAAAAGTCACATACCGCGAGACGTGATCATATAGAGTCTGTTAAGTTGGTTTTATTGTATTGTACTGCTCTTGTTATAATGGAATCAACGATCCAAAACATATATACCTCCGTTGCTCATATTTTTATATATTTGTTTTGAACATCAATGAATCTATTTTTCAAGAGTAATCTACATACTTCAGAATCGGTGATTTAGGATTTAATTGTTGCATGTTATTAAAAATATGCAGGGTGAATATGAATTTGGCATCTATATATTGATTGGGGGACTGGTGGGATGTTGGAAGATTTAGTCACTCTCTGTATTTTGATATTGGTCTAGCTGCTTCTGAAAGTTGGATTGGATGTCCCTTTTTTGGCCATTTCGCATGGCCCCAACACCCAGTAAAAGGTTCTGGGATGTAGTTTTTTGATGGACTGCAATAAAGAAGAGGCCTTAAGGGCCAAGAACATTGCTGAAAAGAAGATGGAAAACAGGGATTTTGCAGGGGCTCGTAAAATTGCTCTTAAGGCTCAGCAGCTGTACCCTGATCTGGAAAATATTGCTCAAATGCTTGTTGTCTGTGATGTGCACTGCTGTGCTGAGAATAAATTGTATGGTAATGAAATAGATTGGTATGAAATTCTTCAGGTTGAACAGACAGCTGTTGATGCACTAATTAAGAAGCAATATAGAAAGTTTGCCCTCCTACTCCATCCTGACAAAAACAAGTTTGCTGGTGCTGAAGCTGCATTTAAGCTGATTGGGGAAGCTCAAAGAGTACTTCTGGACAGAGAAAAACGTATTGTTTTTGACATGAAGCGTAGAGTTCCGAAGAACAAACCTGCTACATCACATTTTAATACTACTGCGGGGAGGAATGTTAGGTCTAACTTTACAAGCTCAACTTCTCAGCAGCAGCAGCAGCAGCAAAATGGTGCACGAGATACATTTTGGACAGTCTGCCCATTTTGTTCTGTTAAGTATCAATATTACAAAGAAATTTTAAAGAAATCTCTTCGCTGTCAACAATGTAACAGGCCCTTTGTTGCATATGAAGTGGAAAAACAAGGTACACCATCTCCTGCAACTAATTCAACTCAGCAAGCTTCTGACCAGCAGAAAGGTGGTTTGAATCATGGTGCTTTCAAGGTAGGTGCTGGATCTCAAAGCAATTCACATGCTGAGAAGTCCAATATGGGGTCATCTGATAAAAAGTTACCTGCTAGTGTTTCACGAAAACATAATGGAAAGAGAAAAAAGAAGCAGGTAGCAGAATCCAGTGAAAGTTCTGTTCCTTTGATCCACAGTGATTCTGAAGAAGATAGAGTTGCTGGAAAGGATGGTTATTCCAAAGTAGAAAACCATTCAACTACTAGAGAAGGGCATCTACGCAGATCTACCCGGAAAAGGCATCAGGTTTCCTACAAGGAGAATTTGAACAGCACTGATGATGGTGAGAAAAGTAAAATGAATGACCCTAATGATTTACCTGCTGCGCACAAAGAAGTAAATCAGAAAAAGCACCTGTATTCAGGAAGAAATGAGGAAACTAACACATTTAAGGGAAAAGATGTGGTGGGAGGGGCAAAGCAGTTGGATGAAACCTCAGAGCATTCTCCAAATTCAACCTTTAAAGTATCAAATCAACCAAATGTTTATGCCTTCCTTGATGCAGAGTTCAGTGATTTTGACAAGGACAAGAGAAAAGAATGTTTTGCTGCTGGGCAGATTTGGGCTGTTTATGACTCAGCAGAAGGTATGCCTAGATTCTATGCTTTAATCAGGAAAGTTCTATCTCCTGGATTCAAACTGCGGTTAACATGGTTCGAATCACATCCAGACTGGAAGGATGAAATGAACTGGGTGAACGAGGAATTGCCTGTTGCTTGTGGGAAATATAAACTTGGTGACACTGATGTCACGGAAGATCATCTGATGTTCTCTCATCTGGTTTTGTGTGAAAAAATTAGCCGCACTACTTTTAAAGTGTATCCTAGAAAGGGAGAAACTTGGGCCCTTTTTAAAAATTGGGATATTAAATGGTACATGGATGCGAAATCTCACCAGCTGTATGAATATGAGTTTGTTGAAATCTTGACAGATTATGTTGAAGATGAGGGTGTATATGTTGTCTACTTGACTAAGTTGAAAGGTTTTGTAAGTATCTTCCTTCAAAATATAAAGGAATCTAAAAAATCATTTCAAATTCCACCACGGGAGTTATTTAAATTCTCTCACAGGGTTCCATCTTTCAAAATGACTGGTGAGGAAAGGGCTGGTGTACCCTCAGGATCTTATGAACTTGATCCTGGAGCTTTGCCAGCACATTTTGAAGAGAAGGTTGGTGACGGCTCATCTGGCTGTGAGAATACAGGCACTTCAGATAGATCAGAATCCCTGATGTCTGAGGGAGGTAGGTCCACTCCCGAGGTTAATGGCAGCAATGATTGGTGTGCTTCTCTGGTACTAGAAACAATTGAAATTCCAGATACTCATTTCTTTAATTTTGATGCCGGGAGATCCCTTGAGAAGTTTCAGATTGGTCAAATTTGGGCATTTTACAGTGACGAGGATGGATTGCCAAAATATTACGGTCGCATTAACAAGATTGTGACTAGTCCTGATCTTGAATTGCATGTTTCCTGGCTTACTTGCTACTGGCTACCAGAGAACACCACTGAATGGGAGGACAAAGATATGGGTGTGCTTATTTCATGCGGTCGATATAACTTTAATAAAACAGATGAATTTTTCAGTATTTTTAATACAACCTCTTGTGTTTCACATCAAGTGCATGCTGAATCTGTTGGAAAGAATACAAATACAAAATATGCGATCTTTCCGAGGAAAGGTGAAGTTTGGGCGTTATATAGAAAATGGACAAATAAAATGAAGTGTTCTGAGTTGAAAAATTGGGAGTATGACATAGTGGAAGTTATCGAAGAAACTGATTTGTTCATTATTGTCTTAGTTCTGGAGTTTGTCAGTGGGTTTAATTCCGTTTTCAGAGGCAAGTTAAATGAAAGTTCATCTGGCAAGCTGAGAATTCCAAGAAAAGAGTTGCTTAGGTTCTCCCACCAAATCCCAGCTTTCAAACTGACAGAAGAGCATGGCAATCTCAGAGATTTCTGGGAACTTGATCCCGGTGCGCTACCAACACACTATTTTGGCTTGAGATGAAAGACCGTGGGTGAGTGAATATCCCTGTTTCAGCCTGGGAGCAAAAATGGAGACTGTTATCTTTTATTTAGATTAGATAAACCTAGTGAAGTAGGGTATGATATGATGCACCGTTAAGATATGTAGTAACATTTTGTAATTGTTAGTGTGAATGGTTAGTGGTAGGCTGGGAATGACTAACAAGTGAGGTTTACCCAAGAACTCAAAGAACTCACTTCATATCGGTGCACTCACTTTACATGTGAAAGTCATGTCATCTTTTTTTCATCCCTAAGTTAGACGTCTTTTTAGATGCAGAAGACTGACACTGCCTTATATGCCAAGGTACTATGGAGCAACTTTCAGCCATAGGCATTGCAAATATAACACTTCTCTCCCTGTCGTTCTGGGTTTTTCAATAAATAATTTAGTATAAATATTAATTTGGATCTAATTTGTGTTGAGTTTGTTTTTTATAATACGGTTTAAATAATTAACGAATAATAAATAATGTAATTATATATCAGTTTGTAATTTTTTTTAAATTTGAAAAATGTTTAGCATTGTGTTTTGTGGTAGGAAGTGTGTCGTCCGTTCCAAATGAGCAAAGTAGTATTCAATTTTGTTAACCATAAACATGTTTTGCGTCAATTATAGTGTTAAAAAGATCAATCTGGTCACTTGAATATTGGTTTAAGTGTATCTAAACTAGAAAATTCAGTTGTTTTTAAAAAATGATGGAATAATCTATTATCAATCTTTATAATCAATTATTTTAGTTATAATTATATTATTTTTAAATTTTTTTTGAAATAATCAATTATTATATTTGATAATTAATTATTACATTAAGTATTTTGATATAATCGATTATTAGACTTGATAATTGATTATTTCAGTTTGTGATTTTGTATTTGTATAAAACTCTTTTGAATAATTGATTATCAGGTTTGATAATCAATTATTTCATAAGAAAATAGATATTTATGGTTTATGAATATGTTTATAATAGATTAATATGATGATATTCATGATGAAGTATTGAATATTAATATGTGGTAGTTGTTCATACATGTATGTTTTTATAATGATGATTATGTCTTGATCATGTGCACGATGATTTTTATGGAGAGATTTCGTGGTGATGTTCAATAGTGTTTGTATTAATTTAGAAAACTTAGTTTTGGGAGTTATAGTGATATTTTAATGATCATCAATTTCTCAAGTAGAGAAGGGTAAGGCATATGGTGAAAGTAGCAAGATGTCTTAATTTATGGTATGATGTTATTTGACAATAGGTGATAAATGGACTAACCTTCTGAGTGTGGTAGGATGAAACTAATTGACAATGGTTCTACAGAGCAATAGAAGTCATCACAAGAGCACAACATGTCATAACTCGACAATAATACATGTATCCGAATGTTCGAGCTTAGATTTTTATAATATGTTTAGGTGTTGTGCTTAATTTGAAAGTGAAATATAATGTGTTAATTTGTGAATTTCATGCTTTATTTTTTTAATATTAGCTTACCTTTGTTGTTTTTGTCTATTTATGTGTTTGTTTTTTCGTTTGCAATGATCACTTTGATTGTGTGAGTTTATGAGGTATCTTTAGAACTAAAACATAAAATAGAAAGTTTTTGTTTCACTATTCTCTTATTAATGTAAAGATCTTATGACCTTTTTTTTGTTAGGTGTAAACTTTTTTTGTTTTTGTTAGGTGTAATTTTTTTTTGGAGATGTTATAATTTTTAACCTCTTAGTTCCTATTTTTAAAATTTTTATTCTAATTTTAATCAATTATAACCTTAAATTAGAAATAGTTAATAAAAATATGAATTTTAATAAAAATATCTATATAAAATTTATATAAAAATTAAATTTAGTTTAAATTTGAAAAGAATAAAAATTAATCAATTTAAGAAAAAAAAAGATTTGAATTGAATAAATTAAAAATATATAGATCAAAGTAAATATGAGACATGATAATGACAAATAACAATGCTACGTAGTGAATTGATATGTAAACATATTTTTTTTAAATAAAAAATATATAATTAAAAAAGTAAAATTTAAAACAAAAAAAAAACTACCAACATTATTTACAAAATATTAACAAAACGATTAAATTGAATAAAATTTAAAAAATTAAAACCAAATTAAAATATATATATTAAAACTAAATTAAACAAATTCAATGAAAATAAATATCAAATTAGTATTTAATAGAAATCTTCCTCGATGCAGAAATAAACCATAGAAAGAAGAGCAACTGTATACATTTAACCAAAACTATCCCAAGTCTATTAGCAAAGAGCAGTGGTTTCATATTATGAAAGGTATTCTTAGAAAAAACATTGTGAGACTTTGGATGATGTTCTGCACAATTGATCTCTTGTCGGTTACTATATAATATCCCTCCACATTCCTAAAGACCTATGCAAAACAGCCATTGCAACCTTGTTTTTTAATTCAACATTTACTGTTATAGAATTTCTGATTTTATCCCATTAGCATTCTTTTAGCATCATTAGCTTTAATTTATCAAAAAAAAAATTGATTTATTTCATTTGAAATCTTTTGAACACATTATCTATTATAACACTATTTTTTATATTGTTTTAGGTTAAATTATGATATTTCCAAAATTCGTCCCTAATAGAATTTATATCTCCAAAGTTTTAATGTGTTTGAATCTAATATTTAATAAATGTTATTTTGGCCATTAGTATAAAACATCACAAATTTGTTGAAAGATATCAATTTCTGTAATTTTGGAGGTATAATAAATGTTATTGAACATATTTTATTTTGATATTAGTCTCTCGGCCTTAATCACCCTATGTTAAAAATTTTGTGTGAAATCTGTCGGTTCATCTTTTTAACATGAGGAAGGATAATATGACACGTATTGACAACACACTTAATAAAATTAAAATAGTCTTAAAAAAATTAATTTTTGTAATTTTTCAAAAAAAAAAAGTAAAAAATTAGTATTAAGTAAATGTAAAAAATTATGTGTATCAAAAAGTATATTTTTCTTTTAGCATAATCTCATGGACCAAGGACGGAAAATATCTAGCAAGTGTAAGAAATTCTTTAATTAATTTTTTTATTTATTTTAAGTAGTTATAACTTATAATATAATATATTAATAATATTGTTTATGATTTATATTTCATTATTGATTTATTTTATTCTCCTCACGGATGTTGCGTGTCACACATAGATTATTAGGTTCCTCATTCATGCCGTTTAACAACAGCGCACCACGCCATGTGAGTTATACCATCTACAACTATTTACGGTTTACTACCAACCAGCATCAATAGCAGATAACGACAGACAACTCTATTATTAGAAAAATGATTGATATTTTTTGAAATAAGACTAATTTCCACTCCAATAAATCGAGGAATAAGCATAAATAATTTTGTATCAAATATATTTTTATTTTAAATATTTTTATAAATTAAATTACATATTTATTTTATTTTTATACTTTGTAAAAATAATGTAAAATATATTTTCTAAGTATATGGAGATAGTTCATAATGGAACTCAGTTTGTCATATGTAAAATATTTCACTATTTCACTCAGAATAATAATATTTTGGTTTAATGTCTCCGTAGGTCCCTATTTTGGTCATGAATTTCAAATAGGTCCTCTTCATTTTCGGCGTATCAATTGAGTCCTTTTTTTTGTAAAATTGAATCAATTACAGGCCTGCCGTTAATTTGGACAAACGACCGTTACAGTAATCAGACGTGGCATGGTTGAGTGCAGTGACGTGGCATTTAAAACGATTTTTGTATTAAATAATTGTTATGCACAGATGTATATTCGGTTTTGGGTAAAGGCAAAGTAGGAAATTTGAAAAAAATTAAAGGCAACTGAAATTGGGGAAAGAACTTCCAACTCTTGAGCCCCAACGTCCGTGAACTCACCTCATCTTCATCCATAAACTATTACCTCATCACCTTCATCTTCATCCCATCTTCATCCTTACCTCCCAGCCAAACCTCTATCTCGTCTTCCTCACAGGAACTCACGGCCAAACACCTATCCTCCATATTCACACACAGCCAACATCCAATGCTCACCTAAAAAAACCATCAAAACAGGGACCCTCGTACTCGCACTAGCCATCACAATTTCCTCCATTTACTCAACAAAACCACAACCATCACATACAACCACGTACTCCATTCGTAAGCCCAGTGGTAGCCATGGGTGGCGACTAGGGTCCAACGGAGGCGCTGGCAGAACCTCTGGTGGTGGCTGTCTCGAGGTGGAAGCCTTGGCCGGCACGGGGGCCGAGCTCATCCAGGAGGCAATTCATGAAGGAGGAAGGAGGAGACTCGTAAGGAGACCCGTGAAGGGCGACGGCGCCTCCAACATTAGCGTTTGTCGCCGTTGATGTTTCTGGTCCAGCCTTGGGACGCGGCGGTGTGGCATCGGAGGCAATGGTAGCTACGAATAGAGAGGGAGAGTCTGGAGTCGTGACCGGTGATAGCTCCGGCGGCGAGCCTCGGCCTTGGTGACGCCATGGATCGCGGTTAGCGGTGGCCGATTTCAAAGAGAGACGAGAGAGGGAAGGCAGTGATTCCGGTGGCGCCTGAGGTCGCCGTTGACGTCGAGATCGGTAGAGGGTGGAGGCACGAGTGGCTGGTTCGAAGAAGCGTTGGTCTACGGTGACCGGTTGGGAGAAGGTTGAGGCGTAGTCGTGGGTGGCAGAGGTGAATGTCTCTATTTCAGAAAAAAAA